ATACTTACTATCTACAAACATAGTTTTATATGTTTACCTATTACTCATGACTCATGATTAGATCTATTATTAGAAATGATTTTTATCAAACATCAATATAAAAATAAATGATTGGAGTTGTAGCAGGAGTTGGAAGAATAGCAATGACTAATGCATTGAGACAGGTGGGAAGGCAGTTTGGGAGAGAGGTTGTTCAGAGAATTATGGGAGGTGAAGCAATAGAACATGTATTAACAAGAGAAGAGATGAGATTATATATTCGCAAAAAGAATAGGTAGAGTAGCATTTGAAGAATTAATGCGTCAAGGAAAAGAAGAGTTGATGAACGACACGGACAAGAAACAAAGAGACTTAGATGAGAAGATGAACAACTTTGCAAGAAATCTTAATGAGCAATTCAGACAAAATACAACACTGTATAAAGAAGAAAGGAACATAGCCAACACAAAAGCAACAGAAGACAGACACGGATTGACGAATGCATACAGAAACCCATCGGGATTATATAAGACAGGCAAGACACTTTATTTATATATTAACTCCACGGGTGGAAAAGATGGAATATAAACAGAGACATTTTAGATTATTTATTAAGGTTACGTACCTACCAGAAATGCACACAACACCGAAAAGTATAAAGATGTGATTAATGAACTCAAAAATCACCAGAAATAACACGTTTGGTGGATTATGACGATGGCCATGTGCATATGGTTTCAGACGATAAAAAACAATTTTCTTCGCTTTTTCCATTTTTTCCATGTTTTTTCATATTATATCATTTTTCTTCGGTTTTGTTCGTGTTTATCATCTTACTGATGGTTAGAGATTTGTTTCCGATCTAAACCCCTCCGATCCAGGGTACTTATTTAGTTTAGTGATTCCTGCCCTTTTGCGCACTTGCTCCTTGACAAGGCTCATCTCCTCTAAACTGCCCCAAAGTCTCTGCAGCACGATTTTGACAGCCAACGGGTGGAATTTTGAAGCCAACGACATCAAGAGCCGGTTTGGCTGCATCAAATCTTGGCGCAGTTCCTCTAAACTCATCTCACCGACGGTGTTTTCTATGCCATCCAAATCTTCCCATGTAACGTCAGGCGGCAGCACGGCCGCCACCGCAGCCTTGACTTTGACCAAAACCCACGCGCGTGCTGGTGGCCCCGCAGTTCTCTCTACCTCCGCTATGAACCTACGTGGATCTTTCAAACCCTCAACCAGGTCGTGAATTTCAACTGCCTTCAAGGAGTCTTCAATGTCTTTCCAGCTCACGCCCTTTTCTACAAGGGTCTGGAGCACAGGTTTCGCCTGCTGTATGGCAAATTTGGCTGCAAGTGGGCCTGTCTGTCGGATCAGTGAATCCAACAAGGCTTGTGGCTCCTGAAGGCCTTTTTTCAATGCAGTCATGTCACAGCGCAGAAGCTCTACCTGAACATCTTGCCAAGGGATACCAATGGGCAACAAGGCCTCCAAGCTTGGTTGTAGGCTGGCCACCATCCACTTTAAAGCAATCGGGCCACCACGCTTTGTTAGGGACAGCATAAACCTTCGTGGGCGGTTCATAGCCTTGGTTCCCAAGGATACATTGGACTAAAAGGAAAACTACTCCCGCCTCATCTCAATGCCATATACTTATTTGCGTCCTGGCTGATATGCCTGCTGAGCAGATGTTTCACATGCACGCACGCATCTGAACAAGAAACGCGTCTTATTGACCAAGGGGCATCGTTTAGCTCCCGAATGGTGAGGAACTTTAGGATGTCAGCCAATTTTTCCCATTTTACGCCTGCAGGCATCCGAGGCTCAAGCTGGCGCTTTACTTGCACAACCCACCATTCGGTTCCAATCTTGTCAGTCCGCGTCGCCAAAGACTTGAAGAAACCTTAGGCCGCACATGGTTGCAGCCGCAATGTCTTTTTCTGAATCTTCGCAGCCAATCAGAGTTCGTGTTGCAGGGACCAGGTGAGGCAGGTGCCGCTTGCTGCTGCTTCCTTCTGAATGGTGCAACAATTGAAGGGCCCATCTGTTTTGCCAAGACAACCAGACGCCGAGTGGAAAGCATCTGTGATCTATCTATCGATACATATATATATATACATATATATACACATATATATATACACATACATATATATATATTGGAATGATCATGGTAGCGTTAACACTCCTAGGGTTTCATGGTGATTTTTTGGTGGCAACAACTTGGTGAATTTTTTGGTGCGTAAATTGACCTTGATACACGACGCGTGTTTTCTGGTGATTTTTCCGTGGCAACAACCCTTGGCACCTAGACATTGAAATGATCATGGTAGCGTTAAGACTCCACGGGCTTGAAGCGGGAACGGAGCCGGAACGAAGCGGGAGCGGAGCGGGAACGAAGCGGATTCGATGATTTCAACGTTTTTTCACGGTTTTCCATGGTTTTCTTGCCTGCCGCTTCGCTCCCGCTTCGCTCCCGCTTCACTCCCGCTTTCTTTTTCTCGTGTTTTTTTAACGTTTTTTGCAGTTTTTCCAGTTTTTTTTGATTTTTTGGATTTTTGAATATTTTTTTTGACTTTTTAGATGTGTTTATGTTTTTTTTCCTGGAATTGTCTCGTTTTTTTTGGAAAGGATAGCAAGTTTTATGAGTAGCCCCGTTAGGAGTAGCCCAGGGTTCTTTCATCAAATGATGAAATGCTAAATATCTTTTTGACATCAAATCGTATCATTATTTAATCCGGCCTGATCAAATGCATCACAATGTTGAGGTAAAATCAAATTGAAAACATAAAATCGTATCACAATCTGATAATTCATTTCGATATGTATACTTCGATGGGATCAAGTCCAGCCATGCTCCGCTCCGATCACCACTTTTGATGGTATTGTTAATGAAGTCAAATCCAGCCATGCTCTGATCACCAGGTTTTGTCAGTTCTGACCTGGAAACTCCAAAAGCTATGTTAACGCTACTACGATGATAGCAATATATATATATACATACGCACAAATCATATCAAATCATAGGTGTTGCTCAGGGGGGCTCGGCAGGAATGCCTTTGCATCTGTTTGGTTGAGCACGCGTGTTACATCCGAATTATTGCAGGAAGGGACTTGAAGGGGGATCTAGGCCTCTAGGCTTCTGGCTGCGAGGGTCCGTGAGCGCCTCCTGGATGTCCTGGATCTCCAAATGTTCCAGCACCCGCGCAGTATCTTTCCACAGAATGCCTGAAGCAAAAAACAAAGCATATGGCATATTCATATGGGGTTGTGGGATACTTTGGGACAGGCTGTTACACATTCTGAAACTCTCGACCAGTATTTCAATCATTCTCGCTCTAAAGCTTAAAACAGCCACGCCCCTCATGCAAATCTCACCTGGCGGTAGGTGCTTCTCAAGTTGCGGTCGGAGTCTCGCCAACGCAAATTTAATGGCCACAGGCGAAACCTGTTGGGAGATCCAGGTGATGAAAGATTTCGGGTCCTCTACCGCGCTCTGCAAGACTCTGACCTTTAGCTCAGCAGTGATGTACTGCATGTCTTGCAAAGTGATCACTGGTGGCAGGCGTTGCTTCAACACCGGCCAGGCCTGTGATGCATGTGATGCGTAGGAATCCAAGAAATGCTGGAGAGAATGATCCGAATCCAATCCCCCCACTGGTGGATACTGTTTCTCATTTGGAACAACCCTGCCTGTGCAAGGGCAATGCGCCTGGCAAAAGATAGCGACCGGCCACTGATTGACTTCCACAGAGCTTCTCGGGTTCTTGAATTGGTAATCGCTAAGCGCAAGGTCCTGAATTACATCCGGAGGTGAGCTGTCCTGTCTTCTGCACACTCCAAAAAAACACACATATGTATATATATATATATATGCAGTTGTAAAATGTTTTATATAAATTTTACTTCGTGTGATCCCCGCCGTAAGATGGACATTCTGATGACATATTCACACAGTCTTGTATATATCCGATATATCCCGACATGTATATATTCCATCATGTATTCGGAGATGTTGTGTGGGATCTGTAAAGGGACGCGCGCACGCACAATCAGTCAGCCACAAACACGCAGCTCACTGGCTTGCCATGGGGATGAAGCCCGGGGTTGAAGCATAGAGTCTGCGAGCTTGCCCTGTGTGTGCCTGACACGAAACCTAGAGACCGGGGGTAGGAAACTGAAGAAGCCTGCGACTTCGCCATTCTAAACAGAAGAGCGTCTTAAGATCCAGCTTCTCCAGTTCCAATTCGAGATCTCTCCAATCTATACCTTGTGGAAGCGCAAGGAGCGGTTTGAGCTGCAATGTAGCCAGCCTCTGATGGTCAATGGATGCCACAGAAAGCAGCACCCAAAAGCGGTGGAATATCTATTTTGGCCGGCAAGTTACACATGCCCGGTATATCTTGTGTGGGATGTTTTTTGAACATGTTCAGAAAAACGCCAAAAAAAAATACACCCTGAAAGGCCAATCAACTTCAACGCTGCTTGGCCAGTTCTCCTTGCAAGCATCTCCAGAAACTGGTTTGGATGGCGGATTGCATGCTGAATATCTTCAAAATCCACTAGTTCAATGACTTCCTCAAGGTTGATGCCTGCAAATTTGCTGTCCCTCAACTGCATGGTCATCTCTTGCGAAACCGATTTCCAAATCGCCCGAAAAAACTTCTGCTCCAGCACCCTGCGAAAACTTGCAGGATTTGATACATCAATTGTCATTGATACAGTCAGCAACTCGTCAATCGTCATCGTCACGAGCCCCATTTGGGTGATCTTGTCCCAAGAAATCTCCTTTGGAAACTTGGGCTCCAACATTGTTCGCATCTCCTCCAACGCAAGCTTAACGACCTCTATGAGCAAGTCATGTCTGTCTTTGCAGCCTTGAATTGTGGCCGCATGCATGTTCAAAGCTGGCAGTAAGGCAGCCAGAACCTTCTTATACACTAGCAGCAGAAATCCAGGAGCAAGATCTTGAAGGTTTGCTTCCAGTTTGGCCATTGCTGTGAAAGCCTCTTGGCGAAGTCCAAACAAGTTCGACGGGTTCAAGATTGCTCGCAAAGACATCAAAGTCGCAGGGTCGGCTAAAGTCTGTGCAAGGACCCTTGCGCTTTTCATTGCCACATCATCATTGAACCCTTCAAAAGCCACCTTCAATTCTGCTTGCGCCTCCTCCCCCAGCACAAGACATAGGTCCAGAACATGATTTTGGCAGGTCCTGGAAAAAATGTGGCGGATTGGGGTTGCTTGAAAATTTCAATACTTGAAATTTCTAACCCCGGAATCCCTCTAGGAAACCAAATTCAGTTTTTTTTTCCTATGTTTTTTACTTTTACTACTTTTACTATGGTTTTGATAGGAACTTGATACACTTGGAATTTGGAGTTATGATTTCGATATGGTTGTGTTATGTTTTTTGTTAATATGGTTTGGGTTACGGTTTAGATATGGTTTTGGGTATGGTTTCGATATGATTTTGATGTGGTTTGGGAACGGAGCGCCTTTTTCAGGGTTCCCAGTGGGTTGGTTTCAAGAAAGGAAACAAAAACAGCCCCGGGACAGCCTTTTGGTTGATGTCTCGAGGGTTTTTGTGGTTTTGCTATGGCTTGATACGGTCTTGATACGATTTGATTTTGATTATGGTTGGTTGGTTTCGAAAACAACCCAAGGACATGTTTGTGGTCGATTTCTTGAGGGTTTTCTGGTTTTGATATGTTTTTACACGGTTTTGATACAATTTTGATACGGTTTTGATGCGAATTTGGTTTTGATTTAATTTTGATATGGTTGCGGTGGGTTGGCTTCAAAAAAGGAAACCGTTGAGGAACTCGCATTTAATCACTTAAAACAAACTAAATCATCAGGTGCGCAGGAGGCCACATGCACAGATGAACAATGCCTCAACTTGCATGGAAATAGCATACAAAAACACCATAAAAATCACAATTTTGACCCACATCAAGAATCAGAACTGGCACCATATCAAAATCATAACCAAAACCGTATCAAAATCATAACTGCAAGACCAGGCCAGAATCAAATCATAGAAACAAATCATACATGAATATATCAAAATAATGAATCGGAAAACCTTCATCCTAGAGACTTCGGATGTTATAATTTTAGACCCAAGGGAAAGGGACGAAAGCTAATCAGGCAATGAGGCTATGCATGAAAAGCGCACGTGGCATGCCCCTTGTTGTCCGGCCAATAGTAGGGAAACAAGATGCAGCCCACGAACCCGAATGCTCACACGAAAGATATTGGTACGGATTCCGAAACCCGTAGATAGGGAACATCATAGACGTGAAAGAATGCAGAGTGTGGAGTGACAAGTATACAGTATATAGAATGTGAAGGGCGGAGTGTAAAGTGTAAAGTGTGGACTGTAAAGTGTAGAGTGTGGAGTGTAAAGTGTGGAGTGTGGAGTGAGGAGCGTAATATGTAAAGTGTCGAATGTAAAGTGTAAAGTGTAAAGTGTGGAGTGTACAGTGTAACGTGTGGAGTGTAAAGAGTAAAGTGTAGAGCGTGGAGTGAGGAGCGTAAAGTGTACATTGTGGAGTCTGAAGTGTAAAGTGTGGAGTGTAAAGTGTGGAATGTGGAGTGTAAAGTGTAGAGTATGGAGTTTGGAGTGTAAAGTGTGGAATGTGGAGTGTAAAGTGTAGAGTGTGGAGTGTAAAGTGTGGAGTGTAAAGTGTGGAATGTAAAGTGTGGAGTGTAAAGCGTAGAGTGTGGAGTGTAAAGTGTCGAGTGTGGAGTGTACAGTGTAGAGTGTGGAGTGTGAAGTGTGGAGTGTAAAGTGTAAAGTGTTGAGTGTGGAGTGTAAAGTGTAGTGTGTGGAGTGTGGAGGGTGAAGTGTGGAGTGTGGAGTGTGGAGTGTAGTGTGGAGTCGGAAGTGTAAAGTGTGGAGTGTAGTGTAGTGTGTAAAGTGTGGAATGTAAAGTGTGGAGTGTGAAGTGTAAAGGGTGGAGTGCTGAGTGTGGAGTGCAGAGTGCGGAGTGTGGAGTGTAGAGCAGGCAATGCGACACGTCTGAAGTGCTGCCCCTGCCACGCAAAATGACGATAGAGGTCTCCAAAGTGCTGTGCCTGCCACGAAAACTGCAAGTGTAAAGTCGCAACGTCGTAGAGTGTGGAGTGCAAAGTGCCAACTGCAACGGAGTGTAAAGTGTAGAGTGTAAAGTGTAAAGTGTGGAGTATAAAGTGTAGAGTGTGCAGTGTGGAGTGTAAAGTGTAGAGTGCAAAGTGTAGAGTGTAAAGTGTAGAGTGTGGAGTGTGAAGTGCGGAGTGTGGAGTGTAGAGTGTGGAGTGTAGAGTGTGGAGTGTAAAGTGTAGAGTGTAAAGTGTAGAGTGTAAAGTGTGGAATATAAAGTGCTGAGTGTGAAGTGTAAAGGGTGTGGAGTGTGGAGTGTCGAGTGTGGAGTGTAGAGTCTCCAAAATTCTGGGCCTGCCACGAAAACTGCAACTCATCCCCTGGGACTCCAAGAAGCTCCATTTTGAAGCTGGCAGCTCCAAAACAGCAATTGCAGCTCCAAAATGGAGCTTCCAAAACTGAGCTTCCAAAACTGAGCTGGCAGCTCCAAAATGGAGCTGCTTGAAAACATCAAAATGGAGCTTCCAAAAATGAGCCGCTTTTGGTATAAAATGGGGCTGCCAAAGCTGCTGGCCTTGCTTTTTGCCAATCAATCATGCAGTGTGGTGAGTCAGAAAATGAAGTGAAACTGAGAATGGTATGGATGTGGGCCTTGTGCAGGCCAAGCAATGCAGATCCATCTGGTTCCTTCAATCCAAAGGGATAGCAGGGAAGTGGTTCTCTTGCTGCCACCTCAGTAGGCAGTTGGCAGCATTGGTGCCAGGGTTGTTTTTCCCAGACTTTCTCCACAAAAGACGGGCCAGTTCCCCACCTACAGTTTCATCCCTGTAGCACCAGTAGTCCTTTGGTGGGTAAGGGGCTTCAGAAATGTGCTGGAACATGTGCAGCTTTGGCATGATGTGCCAATCCGAAGTGTCTGGGTCATTTCTCAATGCTTCATTTTCCAAAGCCATGTACTGGCCAGCCACCTTTTCGCCCAAGCGAGGCATCCTAGCCATATCATTTGTTTCCATGCATTGGTAAGCTTCTGCTAAGAACCTAGCTAATTTGTTCACTGCCTGCTGGTGATCATTCCCATATGAAAAATATCTGGCTGTGAGGATAGGCAGCAAAGGAATAAAATGTCTGATTTGGGCAGCTAACCCCTTGAGAGTTGCAGTTTTCGTTGTTTTTTTTGATCCTTGTTCAGGACACCAGGGGTTAATCTGGCCAGCCTGTATTCAACATCGAACTCTTTGTACAGCCCCTTGATTTCCTCCCAGAGCAAAGCCACCCTACCCTTAAAGGCCCTGGCAGGTTGCTGATCAGCCAGCTCTACAAGGATTTGACCAGCAATGTCTGCCCCAATGCCTTGGTCAACAGCATGAAGCCAATCTGGCAAGCATCTCTGAAGGAATGAGTTCAGGCCACTCCCAAAGAGGACACAACTCCTTCCCCAAATTCTGTACCCTTTCCACAAATTTGGCCTTGTCCAGGCCAGCCTTTCTGCCATTAGGCCCCCAGCTCTTGTAGTTGATGTGCTTGGCTTCACACAACCAACACATGCCTGATCCAGTGTTCCAAGTGGGGAAGTTCAACCAGCTGTTCAGCCAGTCCCAATCACCTCTAATTTCACACAAAATGCCTTTTGCAGGCAACCTGCCTTGCAGGCAAGACCTTTTTTTTGTCTTGTGGACCCCAAGGACTGCCATCATGCCTGCAGGTAGGGTATTTGCCCTTTTTCAAACATCCCAAAGACCAGAGAAGCACATCCAATATGGCTCTCTTGGTTTCGTAATTGAAATGGAAGGCTGCTTGGATTACAGTAAAAGGTACCCTGAAATCTTTGTGCTGCTTGTTGGTGGGCATGTTGATAGTGAGGAAGTCCAAGCTCTCTTGCCTCATGGTGCCTTGTACAGGCACACCATCGGCATGGAACCCAAGAGGCATATGGAGGTCAGACATCCATGATCCTAGTGGGTCTTCAGCACTCAGCCTCAAGGTTTGCTTCAGCAAAGCCCTGTGCACCTTGCTGCCTTGTGCAGGCTGGCTTCTTTCCAAAGCCCTGGTGTCCACCATGTATTGCCCAAGCCACCCATGTGGCAATTGAAATGGGTAGTCCACCAAAATTCTTGCATTAGACTTCTTGTCTTTGATTGGAAACTTGGCCCAATAAAGGCTGGGCCATGTGGTTTTAGGCCAGGCTCTTTTCAAAGTTCTAGCAGCATTCTTCTTTCCCTTTTTGCCTCTGAGCTTCAAACCTTTTGCCCCTGCACTGGTTGCTTTCTCTATGTTTCTCTTTGCTTCAGTGCCTGGCAGCTGGTTGCTGCTGTGCAAATGCAAAGCAAAGTGGGCCCATTCCTCAGAATCCGACTCAGAAGCTTTCCTCTTGGAAGAAGAAGCTTTTCCAGCCAAGGCCTTGTTCAGGCCACCTATGCACAAGGCCAGAAGCAAGAGCCATTTGCTAGCTAGCATGTATGCCAAGCAGAAGTGGAAGAAACCTGAAGAGCTGCTAAGCCAAAACCTTGCAGGAGGAAGCAGTGACATCAATACAGCAAGAGGGACGCGGCGTTAGAAACTTCAGCAGCTAGCAGCAAACACTTTTTTCAAGCAGCAAAAGTTGTGCCACAGTGCACTGCACATCTTTGGGCTGCAGGTGCCAGGAGCTGTGAAAAGGACAGCAGCCATGTGCCTGATGCAGGCAACCACATAGTGGGCAAAAAGGAGCTGTTGCTTCAACCCTCCTGCTCCAGGAAATTCTTGTGTGCAGAGAGCTCCTTCTTCCAGCCTTTGAGGAAGGCAGCCATGCTGTCAGCCAGGGTAGACAAGCCATCCTGCTTCTCTTCCGCATCAGCCTCGTTTTTGCAAGTCTTGGGAAAGGCCAAGTGTTCAGTGAGGAACTTTTTCTTGTCATCCTCCAAGCACTTCTTCTGGCTCTGCACTTGCTTTTGCAGCAAAGGCTTCATTTCACTGGTGTCAGGCAAAGCAGCTATCTTCCCCAGCAAAGTGTCCCAGTTGTGCAACTCAGCCGCCATGCTGCCAAGACTGCTTTTGCACTTCTGAGGGGTTAACAACTCACTTCCAACACCGAAAATCAACTCACTCCAAACACCGACTCACTCCCAACACCAAGAACTCACTCCCAACACCAAAAATCAACTCACTTCCAACACAAAAAGCACTTTTCGGCGTCGAGGGCGAGTCGATTTTCCATTTCCCCATTGGTACTGAGGCGTCACTTCTGGAACCCCATCATAAACAAACATTACACGGCAAATGATCAACACTGAGAAACCCTTCAAGGGGATTCAACCCTTTACGTTGGGGGGGGGGAACCATCAGGGTACCATACAGGCGGAATGATCAACACTGATAAACCCTTCAAGGGGTGGGGTGGGGTGGGGTGGGATGATAACGTTCATGTTCCTATGCACACACAGGCACAGCAACCTCATCATCTTTCTTGCTGTTGAGCAGAGACAGGCACAGCTCTTTCATGATCAGTTACCGGTGGGGTGGGGTGAGTTAATAAGGTTCATGTTCCTATGCCTGCACACGCACAGCAACCTCATCATCTTTCTGGCTGTAGAGCACTTACACGCACTGCTCTTTCATGATCAGTTACCCGTGGGGTGGGGGGGGTGGGGTGGGGTGGGGTGGGATGATAACGTTCATGTTCCTATGCCCACACAGGCACAGCAACCTCATCATCTTTCTTCCCGTAGAGCAGAGACAGGCACAGCTCTTTCATGATCAGTTACCCGGTGGGTGGGTGAGTTAATAAGGTTCATGTTCCTATGCCGCACACGCACAGCAACCTCATCATCTTTCTTGCTGTAGAGCCTTACACGCACTGCTCTTTCATGATCAGTTGCCCGTGGGGTGGGGGGGGTGGGGGTGGGGTGGGGTGGGGTGGGGTGGGATGATAACGTTCATGTTCCTATGCACACACAGGCACAGCAACCTCATCATCTTTCTTTCTGTTGAGCAGAGACAGGCATTGGCGTTGATGTTGATGTGAATGTTGATGATGTTGTTGTGGTTGTTAATGTTTTTGTGTTGTCGATTTGGAGACTGCTGTTGATTTTGTTCTTGTTGTTGATGTTATCATGTTGTCGATGTCAGTAAAGAGGCGTCGAGAGCGAGTCGATTTTCGGTGCTGAAAGCGAGTTGATTTTCGGCGTCGGGAGCGAGGTGCCGACCTCTTCTGGCTGTCTTTGTAGGCCTGAGTCCAACTCTCTTCGAGATTCATTTCATTAGCCTTATGCAGGCTAGACTCCTTGTCCTCAAGTGCCTTCTGCTGCTTAGAGGTGGAGCTGCCAATCATTCTTTGTCCTGTGCCAGGATTCATTGCAGCTCTCATGTCTGTGAAATCCTCTGTGCTGACATCACCAACCTGCTCCATGGGTTCCAGGCCCTTTCTCTTGAGGGTTTGGGTCTTTGTTTTGGTGGCCTGGTAGTGGTACTGCTTCACACCCAAAGCAGCTAGGTTTTCATCTTCGTGGTCCCTCTCTGGCAGGTCCTTCACTGAGGCTTTCACAAGCTCCTTGAAATGTTCAGCTCCAGGCTCGATGCCTTTGAATTTGGCTACTTGCTCAGCAGTGAACCAATCATCGATGTTGTCCTCAGTGACAACACTTTCCTGTGTGTCCTTTTTCAGGACAGCCTTTTCACTGACCTCAGGATCAAGCAAGTATTTGTCATAAAAGAAAGCCCTTTTCTCATCATGAGTCCTGCACTGGTTGTAAGCCTTTTGCAGGCCATCCTTGCCAGCCTTTGCCAAAGTCTTCAACTTGCGGTGCATCCTCTTGGCAGCATCTTTGGGGATGGGGGGGGGGTGCTTCTCAGCCTTGGCAGCTGCAGCCTTGGCAGCTGTGGCTTTGGGGGCAGGTGCAGGGGAGAGAGGTTCAGCCTTAGCACCTTTTGCAGGTGACCCCCTGGGTCTAGCCGCACCTTTTGCAGGTGGCCTCTTGGGGCTATGCTTTGGGCTGGCTGCTGGCTTCTTTACTGTGGAAACCACTGCCGTACTGGTGCTTTTGGAAATTACTGCTTGTCTGAGCTCTCAGTGGCTGCCCCAAAACCAAGTATAAAACACATGCAAAAAAAACAAAATGATACATTCCCACACACCAAAAAATGGAAAATATATGGAAAAATCAACAGGGAAAAGTTCAGATTCTGAACTTTTTGTTGTTTTTAATTAAAAACAAAAGGAAACTCAAAAGTTCAGAAAGTTCAGCTCTGAACTTTTGAGGGTTCAGGTCTGATTTTTTAAGGGTCACTGGCACATTTTTTGCAATTTCTTTTTTGTGACAGGAAATGTGTGCCTTGACGTTTTTGTGCCTATGGGCATCTCTTGTGGCCCTCTTGTTTTGGCTCTAGGCCTTGTGCAGGCCACCTATTCAAGGCCAGTGGGCTACTGACAGCTGGCCTACACCAGTTTTCAAAAATTGTGACAGCCATGTGCACAGAGTTCATCAAAAAAACTTTGCATGGTGAGGTCTAGAAATGCCTTTTCACCAAAATGTGTATTTCTTTGCCCATATATTTAAAAACAACATCAAATCTACATTGTTTGTAGGCATATCTATTTTGCATCATGTTTGTTTTTTTATTTAATTTCATTTATTCAACTTAATATGTGGTTTACTCATTTTGTTTGTTCATTATTTTTACTTATCTATTTATTTGTTTGTTTTTTCAATTACTTTTATTTATTCAATTATATTTATTTAAATTTATTCTTTCAAACTTATTCATTTATTTATTTATTTATTTTTATTTTTATTTTATTTATTCATTTATATTTTTTCCAACACAGCTGCCACTGCAGGTTTGGCCACAGCTTCTGTTGAGCTGGGCAGGTCAGCAAACTATTGGGCCTTTTGCAGGCCACCCTTCAGGGCCAAGAAGTAGGGCAAACCTACAGGTCATCCTGGTTGATCTGACTCTGGCTCAACACCTCAAAAGAATCCTGTGGGGGCTTCACTTGCATTGGCCCAGCTGGTCATAGAGCCAGCCATGCCTTGTGCAGGCAACCCAGCAGGGCCACTTGGAGGTGTAGCAATCACAGGTAAAGTTTCAGGAACCTCAACTGTTGGAAGTGCCTCAGCTGCTGCAGCTTCAGCTGCTGCAGCTTCAGAACTGCCTTGTGCAGGCAACGGCCAGTCATGTTTCTTGGGCTCCTGGCTGGCTCGTTGGTCACTTGAGGAGCTGGAGCTGCTACTGGGGCTCCCACCACCATCACCTGGCCCATCATCATTGGCAGCTCTGACATCATCTCTCAGTCCGGGGTGCATGACATTCAAGTCATCCAGCATATTTTGCATCATATGCACTATAGTTCGGGCAGTTGAAGGGCCTGCCCCTGGAGAGTGGTCTGGTGTATCGTCAGTGCCTTGTGCAGGCAACCCTGTCACAGGGCCAGTACCCAGGTTGTTGCGCTTCCTGTTGAGAATCTCATTGGTGAACTGGTGGGCCTTCATTTTGTATTGGTGGCTGGCTAGAGGTGCTACCTCCAGACAGCCTGCCCTTTGTCTTTGCTGAAGTCACTAACATGTTGCTGAGCCTTAAAGCTGCAAACAAGCAAGGCTGTCTTATTTTGGGATGGGTGACCAGGTAACAATCAATTGCAAATTGGAGCTTCTGGCAGCTGCAAAATAAAGATTCTAGCAGTTCCATTTTGAAGCTTCCAAAAAGAGCTGGCAGCTCCAAAATGAAGCTGCTTGAAAACATCAAAATGGAGCTGCTGAGAAGCTCCATTTTAGAGCTTCCAAATTTGAGCTTCCAAAATGGAGCTTCTTGGAGTCCCAGGGTCTTCTGAAAGCGACGCAAAAGCATTGCGCCTGCCACACAAAACGACTTTCGACACGTTACGGAACACGTCTGAAAATCATGAAATGCCACGCCTGCCACGCAAAACGACATGACAACCTGCTTGGAAACCTTCGAGAAGGAGAGGTTTTGCAGCTTCCCCCATAGGCACGGCGAGGCCACCAGAGACTCGAGACGTGACATGTTGGAGCATCAAAACTACACAATGCCGGCGAAGGTCCCCCAACGTTGCAGTCAACTGTCATTCCCCTATGAAACTACGCCCCCCAACTGCCAGGAAAAGTCACCCCAACTTCTTTGCCCATTGTAAGCGCAACACGAAAATGAAAAAGTACAAAAACTATCATCCCAAATGTGCAAAACACCATGAGAACGCAAGTCACCCCAATGGTTTCAAACTATGGAAAACAGTAACAAAACGATATATTTCGATATCAAAACACCATGTAAACGCACGATCCAAGTAACAGTATGTTTGGGTAACATATCCCTTTTGTTACAAAATGCATCCAACTCTAATGTTCAAAGTATAACAAGTACATCTAAGAAATGTCATCTTTTGGTTCAAACATTTCAAAACAAAATGCAAAATGCGAACGCATGATTCATGTATGCATTGGCAACAAATCTACGGGGTTCTGATTTACATCTCAACTCAATGTTTCTGCAACCAATTATCCCCCAACCAATCTATCATAAGTACATTTGAACTGAGCCCCCAGGTGGGTCTTAAATCACGGGTTCCGAACGAACGAGGTCAAAACGAGGCCAGAAAATAGCTTTGGAAACCCCCAGCTCATGGTGATATCCGGCAGCCATTTAGCAGCAGCCCAGCATCTGCCCGACAGCAGCAGGCCAGCATCTACTGTAATTAGATGAATCGATGCAACTACTCTAGAATGGCACCCCCCTCCGGCAGGGTGACATATGAAATGAATTTGCTCGACGGATTTGCTCGCTTGCCGCTGTTAATCCTAGGCTTTAAGTCCTCTGGTGGTTCTCTCTGAAAAAACCGGCGTGTCACGAGCATTTTGGGTTTTCCCACCGGTGGGCTTCCCCCCCTGCATCCCAAAACCTGGCTCAAGATTAACAAATTTGGCTCAAGTTTTGCTATCGTTGTGGATGAAAAAACAGGACCTCCAGAAGTAGTTGGCTCAAGACCTTTTTGTGGGCAAAGCTACTCCGCACTGGTGCAGCGAAAAATGTTGTTGGCTCAAGACCTTTGTGGACAAAGCTGCCCCACACTGGTCCAGCGACATAAAAGGACTGGTGAATGGTGAAGCAAAGGGGCTTCTAAATGTAGTTGGCTCAAGGCTGGCTCAAGATCAGTCTGCGCAAAGCTAACCCAACTGATGCTATTGAAAAATAAGTAAGCCAGGACTTTTGGACTGGACCAGTGAAGCTGTGGGTGGGGACACGGTGGGACTCTGGCATGGGCGCATGTGCAGCATGGAAAATTGAGAAATGGAAAGATGGCGGTGGTTTGACCCCTCCAGGAGAAGAAGAAACATGGATAATTTTTTCTTGTGCGGAAAAGGAAACCTGGAGTGAGGTGGTCTGAACCATCACTGACTATGAAACCAAAACGAGGTGGTCTGACCCCTCTCATTTTTTTTTGGCGTGGTCAAGTGATGTCATGACTGGGCGCGGCCCGGCAGCCAAATGAAGCGAGACAAGCATGGAACCCCGAGTCTCAGGTGTTGATTCCAACAATCTAAACAGTAGGTTTTTTTATTGATGTTGATTCCTGACTTTGGTACTGATTTCTTGAATACATGAACCTTAAACAGGGTTTCAGAAAAATATTGTTTTTTCCCGAATGCGTAGCGAAGGGTTCCCGTTTATAGTCTGGGGGTCTGGGGGCTGGACCCTTGTTCGCCTCCAGTTGCTCGTCGGGTCGCCGTCGGGTCGCCGTCGCGTCGTCGTCGCGTCGTCGTCGGGTCGTCATGGCGTCGTTAATTCCAAGTCTATGGGAGAAGCTGCAAAACCTCTCTTTTTTGAAGGTCATCAAGCAGGTTGTTATGTCGTTTTGCGTGGCAGGCGTGGTACTTTGTGACGTTCCAACCTGTTTGATCTGTTTGATAACGTGTCGAAAGTGTCGAAATTGGAGGAAGTCTCGCACGAAACGCTCGTTTTGCTGCGCCCACGTGTCTCGTCTCGAGTTTCTGGTTTTCCTCTAGCGTCGCCGTGTCTATGGGGGAAGCTGCAACACCGTGTCTCGTCTCGAGTTTCTGCTTTTCCTCTGGCGTCGCCGTGTCTATGGGGAAGGTACAAAACCTCGCTTGTTTTGTTGCGCTCATGTCGCCGTGTCTATGGAGGAAGCTGCAAAACCTCAGTCTCTGCTTTTCCTCTGGTCGCCGTGTCTATGGGGAAAGCTGCAAAACCTCGCTTGTTTTGCTGCGCTCACGTCGCCGCGTCAATCGGGGGAGCTGCAAAACCTCAGTCTCTGCTTTTCCTCTTGCGTCGCCGTGTCTATGGAGGAAGCTGCAAAACCTCGCTCGCTTTGCTGCGCCCACGTCGCCATGTCTATGCGGGAAGCTGCAAAACTTTAGTTTCGTCTCGGGTTTCTGCTTTTCCCTGGGCGTCGCCGTGTCTATGGGGGAAGCTGCAAAACCTCTCGTTTTGCTGCGTCGAGTCTCTGCTTTTCCTCGGCCTTGTGCAAGCTTTGTCGTACAAAGTAGTATTGTGCAAGCTTTGTAGTACAAAGTAGTACTGGGAAAAACTTTGTGCAAGCTTTCTAATGCAAAGTAGAACTGGGAAGTAGTTTCTGCAAGCTTTCTAGTACAAAGTAGCACTGGGAAGCAGTTTCTGCAAGCTTTGCAGTCACTAGTACTGGGAAGTGCTTTGTGCAAGCTTTGTAGTACAAAGTAGTAATGGGAGGTACTTTGTGCAAGCTTTCTACTACAAAGTAGTACTGGGAAGTACTTTGTGCAAGCTTTCTACTACAAAGTAGTACTGGGAACGGCTTTGTGCAAGCTTTGTACTACAAAGTAGTACTGGGACGTACTTTGCGCAAGCTTTGTAGTACAAAGTACTACTGCGAAGTACTTTGTGCAAGCTTTGTACTACAAAGTAGTACCGGGAACGACTTTGCGCAAGCTTTGTATTACACACTAGTACCGGGAAATACTTGGTGCAAGCTTTCTAGTGCAAAGTATTACCAGTAGTACC